CCACGTCGGCGTTCAATTGTCTTATGTTTCAGTTTGTTATGAGTCCTGGGGCTAAGAAGATGCTTCTTGACTCTCCTGTTTCTTCTCGTTTTTTGTCCCGGCACGATCGTCTTTTTCTTCTGTCTTTGCCCAGAGAAGGGTGTCGACCCGCCAGTACGTCTAACGCGAACTCTCCGTCTAGCTCGCTTGAGCACGAATAACCATCTCTTCTTTCTTCCTAAAGCTACCCCTTTGACCTTTCTCTTCTCTATTCTTTTCCTTTTCTTGGAACTCTCTCCTGCCTCGAATTGCCTCAAGGGCGCTCCATCCTCCATCATGGCTTTCCCTTTCCCTTTCGGGCTGGTTAGTGATAAAGTGGGCGTGGGCCTGGGCCTAAACAGCTTTAACCTAGCCCCCGCCACTGGGTCCTTCCACTTAGATCCGTCTAGTTCTGCTATCATATATGCACCCCATTCAAGTGTCTCAACCACTTTGTAAGGTCCTATCCATCTATTGGCAAGCTTTCCGGTCCAGGTCCTTTCCAGCGCTGCATCGTAAAGAAGGACCATATCTCCTACGCTCACCCTCTCTTTCCTGATTCGCACGTTCTTATCCCATCTCTCTTTACCCTTCTCCCTTTCCACTACCAGACGATCTGCCGCTGTCATGAGGTCATCTTCCAAACCGTAGGCTATTTGTCTCGTTCGGGCAGCTAAGAGTTCCTCTCTGGAATCTCTTCCGCCCAGTCGATGGTTGTCCAACTGTCGACGTGAAATTCTATGGGAAGCGGACAATGTCGTCCAAACCACAAGGTGTATGGTGGGTATCCAGTACTAGCTCGGACCGTGACGTTGTCCGCCCATATCGCGTATCGAAAATAACGTGGCCAATCACTGTCCTTACCCTTGCACCAGTTGGACAGTGACGCTATCAGAGTCCGGTGTCCTCTCTCTACTGGGGAGTTCGACTGTGGGTGATAGGCGGTGGCTATCGAAACTCTCGCACCGGCTCTCCTAAACACGCTCTGAACCTCGTCGGCTAGGAATTCCGCCCCTCTGTCCATCACTATCTTGTTGACACAACCATACCTAGATAAGTACTCTAGGACAAAGTTCTTTACTTCCTTTGCCACCTTAGTCCTGATAGGTCTACCGTCCACGAACCCAGTGAAATCGTCTCGTATGTTCACGACGTAGTTCATATTGCCTACCTCTCTCGACATTTTCACTAGATCGATGTGTACCTTCTCTCCTGGTCTGGTCCGATAGGATGGATGAAGTGGCTTTTTGTATTTCACAAGAGCTCTCTTCTGGCACTCTTCGCATGTCATTCAGTACCTCTCGACGTCCTTATATTGTCTTTCCCACCAGTACAGCCGGCGTATCTTTTCGTAGGTTCCTTTACGTCCTGGGTGTCCTGCGAGTACCCCGTCGTGAAGTTCCGCAACTATCGTCTGTCTCTCCTCAGGATCACAGACTACTCGTAAGGGCATTCCCGACCCTACTGGCCTTCGGAAAAGGTGGCCCGCTCTAAGGCAGTACTGGGCTGCTTGCCTCCGGATTTCTGAATCTTAACTCTCCTCTCCCGTCAGGTGTAGTCCGATCATTCGGTACTTGCCCTCGTAAAGATTAACTAGAAATCTCTTGGCGCGCCTCGGCTCTGCCATTGTTAGAGCCCCAGCTACTATCGGACGCTCGAGAGGGATGCGCGAAAGTCCATCTGCCACGGCATTTTTCGTACCAGATACTCTCTCAACCGTGTAATCGTATAGCCGAATCCGTATTAACCATCGGGCGATGGTCGGGTCCGTCAGACTAAAGTCCTTCTGGAGGACAGAGGCAACCGCGGTGGGGTCTACTCTAAAGATGAACCGTCGCCCATAGATATAGTGTGTGAACGTGTCTAGACACCGGAGAACAGCTAACACTTCCTTCTTGAATTGACTGTAGTTACGCTCAGCCGTATTAAGTGTCCTACTCTCAAATCTTAACGGTCTTTCCTTCCCTCCAGCGTCCTTCTGAGACAGCAAACCACCCACTGAACATGGTCCAGCATCCGTGGATACTATGAAGGGTCTCTTGGTCTCATCGTGAAAGAATGGCACACCCAACACGCGTCCTCCTTCCTTAAATTTGTCTTTAAGTTCTTGCATAGCAAGTTCCTGCGAAGAATTCCAATAGAAGTTTTCTGTCTTTCGAAGGAGTAACCTCAACGGCTCAGCCTTCTCCGCATACCCCCGTATGAATATACGCCAGTAACCGACCACTCCTAGAAACTGTCGGACCTCGGTTGGGCTATGTAATGGTGAGGGTCAGTTCAGAAGTTTATCTAACTTCGCCGGATCTGCYAGGCGTCCTCTMGAGTCACAGATAAAACCCAAGATCTTAATAGTCGAGACGGCCCATYGGCTCTTGGTTCCGCTGACTGTCAAATTCGCATCGTCCAGCTGCTCGAGTACCGCGCAAATGTATGTTAGGTGCTGCTCGACGAATCTTCTAACTCCAGGTATAACCTCTGTCTCATCCCTGTCTACTGGCCCTTTTATAGGAAAGTCATCCAGAAAAACTTCAACCTTATCAGGGATGAAGTCCTTGAGGACGGCTACCATGGTTCTCTGAAAAACGGCTACCCCATTAGTCCAACCCATAGGGACAACCATCATTTGAATTAGTCCCAATGGC